TCCCATTGTCCCAGGACTTTTGCGCTGTATGAGAGCTGTGAATGTAAGTCTCATCGCTGTATACAATGCTCCTACCCGAGAAAAGTTCTCCTCTAGAGCAAACTTTCAATTTTACAAACTTTAAGGAAATTATTTTGAAGTATGCGGTCATTTTTCAATACATTTTTGTTAAGGCATACCTATATATCGTCGGCTTAATTTTCAAACCGTGCAACTCCGTTCGAGCCTATTTTTCAGGGGAGCATAAAAACCAATTATACAGCTGCATGGCATGAATATTTGATCATTCTTTTTTCATTTTAATGCTATTGTAGGTCAGGATTAGGACTGCTACTTAGACTATGATGTTATTTTATTATGCATTGTGATAATGGAGTTACGTGATTTACCAACGAACAACCAATGGAGATACAAACTTTGCGGAGAGATACGATTTCTTATTTCTCCGCAATTAAGCAGATCGCTGGAAATAGGAGGTATTCCTATACAAACATTTACCGTCCATTATAAAAAATAATATTTATTATGGCACAGAGAACATAAAAATACAAAGGATTTATAGAAGAATTGTGTTTCAAATAGGGCGAATTATCATAAAAGTCGTGGTAGTACTTATCCAGACTTTTCTTGTATCAAATGGAACAGGATCAATTTTCTTCACTCATATAGGAGGTTCTTCCCAAGATGAGCTTGAATGATCCAGTTTATATGATATTTTTCCATCAGGAGTGAATCGTAACGCTCTAAGATCGGTAACAATGGGGTTACCTGAACGCTTGCCCGGCCTTATGGTTTTGTAAAAATTCAAAGACCGTTCCATGTTCTTGAAGAATTTGTGTTTCAGATATTGCACGTAACATGATTTCTTTTTATAAGCGGTCTTAGCTATATACGCATAATCTGCTGGTAGAGTAACCTTTTTGTTTCTCATAGCCCTTTCTATTACAGAATAACATACTGTCACACTCCATCTGTGTGTGGCCTTTGTCTAAATATTTTTGAATAACTGTAATATTATTGATCATGGAGAAGTTGACAAGAGCGTTTGACAGTATTGCATTTCTATTCTGGTAAGTGCATCCGTCACTCTAACGTATAGTACATCAGTCAGCGCTTACAGTATGATTGGAAATAAAGTCTTGAAGCATTGATACCACAATAGTCGAGAATTAGTTGGCTGTCAAAGCACCTTCAGACTCGTTCCATATATAACAATAAACTTCACTCCTTTTTAGATCATATACAGTGAAGTTATGGACAGCAAGCTTTGTTTTAAAATAGAGAGTGCAACGTTAGATTTAGGACTTAAGAGCACCGACTGTAAGTCCATCGTGAATAATTCATTGCTGGTTATTTTATCAAGAGCTTTTGCATCTCTGGCATTATTTTTCAATTCGATATGAGGGTCATTCTAAAAATTTGAGACAATATAGGAGGTGAAAGTGTAATCGACCAAAGGTTTCGATATTATCACTTTTTTCAATTAAGTTACATGGGATATTGCTTTCTAATAATGTTTAGGTGTGTGGCCAAAAATCTAAGTCAAAATTTAGATTTTATTGAAAAAAATCAAAATTTGTGTCCACGGAGTGGAATGGGTTTTCCACGGAGTAGAAATTTCATGTAGTTTTAACATTTATTTATTGTTTAGAAAAATATAAATAACCGCGACATTAATTTTATGTTGACATGTTCTCTTAAAAAGAAAATAAATGATATATTCTTATTTTTGCTTTAAAACAAAGAAACTACAAACACAAACTTTAAGAATAGATAGGTAATAACTAAGTTTAAAAATAACGAACGAATAAAACGAAACATAAAAAAAACGTACAAAATATAGTTCATTTTAATAATGTTGCTAATGCATAGATAGTCATCGTCGCTATCGTCGCATATTGCACAAGTGAAAAAAAGCGTTCTTGCTGCCCTTGTTGCACATGCCACAGATCCATTTTTGGCAATTTAAGCATTGAATCCATTCAAGATTATTTTTCGATTTACTGTATAGAGTAAGCATATACCACATTTTGCGTTATCTTCTTTACGTTGTTTTCTACCACATTTAGAGATTTAGTTTTAAGTTCATCTTGTTCCTCTTCATTTTCGGAATCTGTGTAAATGTCGGAGTAGGCAACTTTTTTTGGTCTGTTCTGTTTATTTCTTAATGTCCCAGACTATAGTGAACGCATCTAACTAATTCAGGACAAACGGTGCAACTCAAGCGACGTAATTCCAAATAATCAGGATTGGTTGTTGTCCAACAGGCTTGGTGCACTTCATCGTTCCAACAAAAGTTTTAATACCCGCTGATGGGTATCTTGTTATCAAATTCTGAAATATTGCTGAAAAATGACGACGATTTCCATTCCTGGGCATGCCTTTGTTAGATAAAAAACCATTAACTCCAAATTTTGAAGATCATATTGACAAGCGACCAGACGATCGGCGGTTCGTTTAAGATAGCCGCCTACAGCATCTACAGCACCTTTACCGTGTCCACTTACTTTTTTAAAAGTAGTTCCACGAAATTGCCTCTACATCTAACAATTTGGGAATTTCAGTAGCCATTAGGTAGAACATGGATCTATTGCGATTACTGGGTGCTTGGTCCGTCACTACAGATGTAAACTTTCTAAGAAATGGCATTTTTACCTTAATGTGCTTAATTAAAGGTTTTAAATGAGCCAAAAATTGCAATCGGGTCGTGCCGTAGGTTTTCTGACAATGTGCAGTAAGGATATGCTTTAATGGTACCTTGTGGATCCTTCTCATACCACATTGCAGTGTGAATGGAAATTTGGGGCTTTGATCCACCAAAATGAGCACTTTGAATTTCTCGATTATATTTGCAATTATAATTTTCCGAAAAATCGATGTGGGTCAAAGCCTCCGTACCACTTGCAAGTTTTCTTTAATTTCCCGTATCTTACGGTGTTGATGTCTCATGTTAGATATATGCAACATATATTTTGGCATGTTTCTATTTAATTCTGCAACTAACTCTGCCTTTACACAACGAATGATATCTTTTACATTCCTTTTTGTTGTTTTTTCTTCACCTTTAATGGTGTATTTTTCTGTCTTTAAAACCCACTTCTTGTATGAGCAGTTTTCTGTTTCCTCATAGGGCAAAATTGGCAGGGTTCTATTCTTACAATCTACACATTTTCTTTCAAGACAGTCGTTTACCAGCTCACAACATATTTCTCTACAAAGTTTATCTGGACTGTTTGCATTAATCATATGCAATACTTCATTTTTGTGACCAATAATAGCATGTTTTCATGAATAACGCACAAACATGTTTCCCTTTTGCTTGCTGTAGGAATTAACATCCAAAAAGGTCTGTATTTGCAGAAAGTTGCATAACTCATTTGAGAGGAATATTGCCCTCTAGTAAAAATTTATTATTATAAATATTTTTGAGGGTATCTGTGAGATACCTTTTTTGTTTCTTTACTTTTTTAAAGGTAATTACATCGTTTTTACCCGGACACATTCTACTTACGTCGTCTCTTTCAAAAAAATCTGTAAGGTGTCTTTTACCTTAAATTGAACTCTAGATATTTGTTTATTTTTAGGTCTATTCAATATGTATGTGCCACAAATCTTATTCATTTCACTTGTCAAACGATACTGTTTGATAATGTTTCCAGACGTGCATTTTATAAACTGCCTTTTAGCCTTGTAGCTTGTGTTTATAGAAATAAAATTGCAGATAGTTGTTTTCTTAAAACTTCTCCAACAAAGATTTTTTTTCCTGACTTCTGAAGAAACGCTTTGACCTTTTAACAACTTTTCGGTGTTTGTTAAAGGTGAATTTTTCTTGATTTTTTATTTTTACATCTCTGTAGTCTTGTTTTATACCGCTGCGTTAATTTTTTGTACTTCTCTACTTTTCTCTCCAATTCCTTTAATTTTCTTACAGTTGCTGAGCGCTTCCTTAAACCCTTTTTCTTCCAGCGCTTGCTACATCCTGATTGTTTTCAATTTCGTTTAGATCTCTGGTAGGTGTTGCCGGAGGAGTGTTTTCTTTTAGCATCTGCGTAGCTCGGGTTACAAGTTTTTTGTTTGTATTATAACTCCGTTTGTATTCTTTCCACTTTTTCTTAATCTTTTTCTCCCTCTGGATACTTCCCCAATAAGCTTAATTTTGCCTTGTTTTTTTCGCTCATAATATCTTTCTCTTTCCTGTTGCTTTGCTTTTTCATATTGCTCTGGATTGCTTCTTACTTTCTCTCTACGTCTGCGTTCACAATCTCTTTTTTGCTGCCTTCGCTTCTCTAAGTCTACCTTTGGCCTCGCCATATTTCTGCTAAAAACAAAAAACCTATTAAACCACATGATTAGCATAGTCTTATAATTAATTTAAATTAAGGCGTATTCTTCTAAGGTTGAAAAACAATTACTTTTCTACTCCATGGACACCAATCTGCTCCATGGACATACAAAAGTCCATGGAGCAGATTTTTTTTGGAAAAAATAGCTTTACCACTCGCAAAACAAAAAACACAAACTAATTTGTACATAAAATTAAAATGCCAATAAATGGTCACCTAACCGCAATATTTTTATTTAAATTTTACTTGTTCAAATCATTTTAAAAGCCCCCATGGAGTGGAAAACAATAAAAATACGCACCTGCCAGCGCTCACTTCGACTGTCACTACCACTAATCCGCACAAAATTGGGCGATGCTTGCATGTCGAGCGACAAAACTAGACTGAAGCACGAGTACCGACGGGCCTTCGCGCGCTTAAAGATTGCAATACCAACCATAAGGAGCAAAATTCCCCTAGGTCCACGGAGTGGAACTCACCTTTTTACATAATTTTTGATGATTATTTTTAGTAATTATTTTATTTGGCTATAGCATTATTATTATTGACATTTAATCTTTTGATAAAAACGATTGTTGTGACCCGAAACTATGTAGAGTTTCTGAAATAAAGCAATATCTTTGGCAAAACGTGTTGGTTACAGTCCATGGAGTGGAATTTTGGTACTTTTGGACAGTTTTAAAAATATTTTTAAAGTCAAATTTAAAAGTTTAATAAGTGATCCTAACAAAAGGTATTTCATTTTATTGCCTAAGCATGTTAGATAACTAGAGCGTACTCTTGTTTTAGTAATTTTGGATGGTTACATCAAATTGTCCCAAATTTTGAGAATCACCCATGTATCCTATAAACATCTTTCTTGGGGCGATATAGGGAGAGATTTAGTTCTTGGAACGTATTGTAGGAAGTTGCAATAGTCAGAGGCAAAATATCCTTCCCAGTGCAGAATTCTTTCTTATAAAATCCATACAGTTTAGCCTTAGAGGTCCAATTTGGTTGTAAGTATAGCTTTGAAGAATCTCTTCTGCAGTAGTGGGATTCCATCTTTGCTAAGGAATCGAAGAAATCTTTTAAATGTTTGGCATCCTCGGTCTTACTATTATTTTTAGGTGCATGTGAAATCCTTGATTCATGTGTAATCCACTGCTTAATAGCCCATTCTCCCAAACACAAAGTATTTAGACACATTTTTTTGCACACGCAATCTCTCATTGGATGTGGTCAAGTAAAGCTCCACGGAATTATTCCGCCTTGAGACATCTGACATACCCCTTTCCCTTTGTGTTGCCTTATAAACAGGAGAGGTTTTAACGTAGATGCATTTCTCTTTCCAGCTGAGATTCCAAAAATTTTCAAATAGGACCTTTCTTTCGGACTCAGTTAGCTTAGTGCATTGCAGCTTTGAACCCTTTTTTTAGGCTCAGCTTACACCCGCATGGACTGCGCATTCTTTTTTCCACTCTTCCTAAATCTCCTAAATCTCCATTTGCCATCTATTTTCTTTTTTCCAAAGTATCATCTTCCTGTCGCCCTTAGCCTTTTATTCTCGTAGACGCTCCACTCTTCAGGTATACGCTTCTTTGATCTCTTCCTGGCTACTTCTTCCACTGATTCATTGCATGTGTCAGTTATTTGATCTTTCTGAGCGACGATTCTATTATTTGTCTGATTTGAGTTATTATCACTCAGCGATATAAGACGGATGTGTGGCGTCTCTGTAATATTCAAGAGTCCAGGTAGTTTCATTTCCGAGTTTAAACTTTCATGTCATTTTATGTTTATAAATGGCTCAGAGGACGTAATAATATTTAGCTCGTCTATGATTGAGTTTTCGCAGCAAAGAATGTCATCTACAGGATCATAAACGTCAGCTGCTGGAGAAGATAGTATTGGCATAGGTATGCCACTTAGTTCATCTTGTATGTGTTCAACGGACAACACTGGTAAAGGAAGTAGGTATATCAAAATCGTGTTTTATTGGAGATAGGCGTATAACTTTCCATCATTTCAGGATTTACACTTACAGCTGTGACGTCCCTTCCGTACGCATCATACGGATAATTTTCCTTTCCATCGATTACAACTAACCCACCGTTTTCTTGTACGACGTAAGAACCTCGTACCTTAGATATTTCCGAAAAACTATTGACATTCAAATTCTGCAGAATCCTAATAGTGCGAGATGGTACGGGACATCCTGTATACATATTATCCTCCATATTCAGAGATCTGAAACAAATATTTCTGATAACACCTGACATAATTTTCAGGTCATTTTTTTTCCTGAGAATTATATTCTTTTTTAACCGGAAAATTTTGCTATAATTTCGAACGCCAAGTTTAGGAAAAATTTGTATCTCCAGATAGAGTCTCATAAAAATCATTAGCAAATTGCGTAACTCCTAATGAGACTTGAAGCATGCCTTTTCTAACTGACCACTATATACACAATATACTTAAAATTAATTCATATACTAACCTAAATAGTTCTTCGATATATAATACTGAGATATTTCTAGGGTAACAGTAGGATTTTTCAGCGCAATACACTCGCACGTGCTACAAGCTATACTAACAGTGGAGATAGGTGGATTGCGTTTACAGAAATAGTACCGAAAAGTTACGTTGTATTCTAAATCATAGATATCTTTAATTGAATGATTATTGGGATATATGATGAATTTCAACAGATGCGTTTTGCTTTTTCACAATAGATGGTACTACAGTGTAAAATTCAGTAAAAAATGGAGTTACGCGTTTGAAAATTAAGCCGACGATATACAGTAATAACTAATTTTTGCTGTCGTTGATGTACCTTAACACTAGAATTTTATATTTTTTTGGTCACATGTCCAATAAAAATTTCAATATAAAGTAACTCATCTATTAAGGTTCCAATTATCTTTCCACTTTTTTCAAGCAAAAATATAATTGATGAAATTTTTTTCTGAAGGAGCCGATTTTCCTCGCAAGGTTTACTCCATAATTTTTTGCAGCTTCATAAACGCTTTAATGGGTGGTAGGCCGCCGCTTATCGATATGGACACATTTTCAAATTATTTCCCTTATCTCTGCCTCAAACCTGTACACTGTTGATTTCGGACTTGGTTTAGAAACATTTTTTCTTGAGAGAGACAAATTTACTGCCTGTGGGTTTAATCGAACCTTCATTCACAATGCGTTTTACTGTATTGAGTGATACACCTGTGGCCTCTGCTGCTCGATTCATCAGATAATTTAGATGTAAAATGACTTTCCCTGCCTCCTTTTCACGGCCCATGAATTGAAAAACGTTATATACAATCTGGCGGTCCTGGCTATGAACAACCTTGTGCTGGTTCTTATCCCTTTTAAGAAAAAATATTATCATAGATCTGAGTAAAATTATCATATTAAAGTTCTCGGAAAAGGTTCGCAAATAAAATAGGAATGGAAGCGTGTGGTAATATGTTCCAATTGATCTAGGAGCAACATTTGATTAACATAATTAAATGCATATACGTTACATCTCAGATTATCAAAGCTTTATACGTGAAAAAGACAATACCAACTTCAATGCTAACGCTGTTTCATACAATAAGTCATCTACATTCTTCGAAACTTGACACTTACATATTGAATATAAAAAACAATCTTCACAACACCTAGTCTACCATAAAAGAAATCCAACATACAAATCGTAATCTACACGCGCCCGCCAATGAGTACCGATAGTTCTCCCGTGGATGTTCAAAGCGGAGTGCCAGACAGTCTGCCTCGAAAAAGTCTATATTTTGATTAGGATATATTCTTCCGGCTGCTCTTATATTTGTCTTCTGCGCATCCACATAATGTAAAGGTCACTGCCCACGACGTTGTAAAACACCTCTTCATATGTGTAAATTCCCAATCTAGCAGTATACA